TCATCAAAGGTCAAGGTCATGAGTTAAAAGCCTTCAAACTTTGAAAAAAAACATCAGGTCGTACAAAAAAGGCAAAACCGAAAATCAAAATTATGCTTCCCCTATATAAATAAGCTCTAGGGTATATTGAACGCTGTTATAAGGTAAGTTGAGCTTACAGAAGCACATTAAAGGGATACCCCCACTTAATTTACCAACTTTCTTATTTATTATCCGATTTTCAGCAAACTTGGAATATATGGATATAATCAAATTCTAAATTTGATGGAATAATCGATTTTGCGCAGTGCGCATGCGCATTACCAACTTTCTTATTTCTTATCCGAATTTCTTCAAACTTGGTATGTATGTGTATATTCCAATTCAAAATTGATGGATATATCGACTTTACGTACTGCGCATGCGCATTGCCAACTTTCTTATTTATTATCCGATTTTCATCAAACTTGGTATGTTTGTGTATAATCTAATTCTAAGTTTGATGGAATTATCGAATTTGCGTAGTGCGCATGCGCATTACCAACTTTCTTATTTATTATCCGGATTTCACCAAACTTGGTATGTATGTGTATAATCCAATTCTAAATTTGATGGAAATATTGAATTTCTGTTGTGCGCATGCGCATTACCAACTTTCTCATTTATTATCCGAATTTCACCAAACTTGGTATGTATGTGTATAATTCAATTCTAAATTTGATGGAAATTTTTAATTTTTGTTGTGCGCATGCGCATTACCGACTTCATTATTTTTTATCCGAATTTCACCAAACTTGGTATGTATGTGTTTAATTCAATTTTAAATTTGATGGAAATATTGAATTTTTGTTGAGCGCATGCAAATTACCAACTTTCTTATTTCTTATCCGGATTTCATCATACTTATTCTTTATTAATTGACAAATATTCTTTTATTCCTAGTAAATATACTTTAAACTCCAGGCACTTTTGGATATTTGCATTTAGAGATGCAGAAAGGTATTTACATAAAGTAATTGCAATAGACCATCTTCGTATGTACCTGAATGTCGTAACCGCCCTGCACCAGTACTGTTATTAGAACAGTTCTAGTTTTTTTTTTTTCGAATTCTTGACAGAGCTCACAGACGAAACTGTACATGGTATGGATATTTTTTAACTATGTCGTATCTATACTCCGCGGTCATTAGATTTTAAATGTAAAACGACACAATTTTGAAAAACCGGACATGCGTAGTGGTGGGCCACCATGACTGACTACGGAAAGCACTGGTCTGCTTATTTACCGCTCGATTTTCATAGAATTTTCTACATTGTATTGCATAAACGTAACGTCATACTATGACACATTCAATTATGCAAATTTGCTATATTGTTTGCAAGTTATAATAGCAAAGCCTCTCTAGCACTGTACTAAAACGTTTGCTATGAAGTCAATCGATATGAAATTTATATGGGAAAATATTGTCATGTTGATAAACTCAAATGTGTTTTCAGAAGTTTTGCATCATATCCAGTTTTTGCAAAAATTGCCTTCAAAGTCAGTTTTGCAACTTTTTACCTTTCACAGCTACGCCTAAAAACACATATGCATATCATTATAAATGTTATTCAAAGTAAAATGAGCGAAAAAAAATTGACCGGAAACGTCAATAAAACCGCCATTTTGAATAGCGTAATATTTCTTAAAATCGATATTTCTCTCTCATTTCTTATCCGATTTGCATGTTTTTGGTGTCAATGGAAACTTAAGACGTTTGTCAACAATTCTCTGAAAGCCGAATTTTTAATTTTGATTTTGCTTTCTTTTCATTCTTTAATGAAAGTTTTCAAATTTGTTCAATATTTAAGGCTTTTTCTCTCGTGACCTTGAAGTCATATGACCTTGAGTTTTATATGGGTTAATGTTATCGTCAATACCTATCCGATGGTATTTTCATTTTTTGTTTCCGACTATATCTTCTGAAGTTATGGGCGTTTGAAAATAGCGAAATTTTCTTTTAAAGTGCTCTAGCAACCATTTTATTAATGTTATAACCATAATTTTTACAGGAACGTAATCTACGCATCGAGAGCTTTCCAGTGATATATTACATGCATACCTTACATGCTAATTCAAAACCCCATTCACTTAACATGGGGCTATTATTGTACAATCCCTGTAAACAACCTGTCGACACTTGTTAGAACTAATTAAAATCAAAAAGTCTATATTCATTTTAAAGAAACCTTCCCTTATATATTTGTTTAATATGTAGTATGTGCAGTTACGGTGTATATAAATAAGCTCTAGGGTATATTGAACGCTATTATAAGGTAGGTTGAACTTACAGAAACACATTAAAGGGATACCCCCACTTAATTTACCAACTTTCTTATTTATTATCCGATTTTCATCAAACTTGGAATGTATGGGTATAATCAAATTCAAAATTGATGGATATATCGAATTTGCGTACTGCGCATGCGCATTGCCAACTTTCTTGTTTATTATGCGATTTTCATCAAACTTGGTATGTATGTGTATAGTCCAATTCTAAATTTGATGGAAATATTGAATTTTTGTGT